CTTTTTCCTTTATGCAACCCCAGTAAAAAAAAATTAGAGGATTTATATCCGGAGACCGGGGAGGCCACAAAATGGGACCAAGACGGCCGATCTATCTCTCTGGATAAACCTTTTCCAAATAATTTCTTACTTCCCGAGCGTAATGAGCTGGACAACCATCATGTTGAAGCCACATTGCCCTGCGTGTGGCGACAGGCACATCATCCAAGAAAATATTGTAATTGCAATACCAAATTTATTTTTATTTACAACCACAATATTGTTTGTTCTTTCTAAACTTAAATGTAAGATGACACCTTTAAAGAAAAAATATTGTAATTTCAACACAAAATTTTATTTTAATAACAATTACAATATTTTTGTTCTTTATTATCAAAACTCCTTTATCCACTTGCCCCTTCAATTGTGTGTTTGTGTTCCGTGTTTGACATTTGACTAATCATTATGCCGTACTAGTATACTGCTCAGGAATATGCAAACATGCATTACATTTATGGTGAATGCAGAGGTAATGGTGTAGCTTCCGCCAACCTGTATCGGGAAAGATACCTGAATGCTTTGAGATATCCTGATTATCGCGTCTTTATAAATGTTCACCAAGCATACGCTGAAGGCAGAATGCCTCACAATCGTGCTAGAATGGGAAAACCACGTATGGATTATGATGAAGGGGTTTTGCAAGAAATTGAAAATCACCCAACTACTTCGGCGCGAGCAATTGAAAGGCGTACAGGAATACCAAAATCCACTGCAAACAGAATTACACGACGGTATCAGTATCACCCATATCACGTACAGCGTGTGCAAATGTTGCTTCCTCGTGACTACGCAAGACGTGTCCAATTTTGCCGCAGAATGTTGCAGAAACATAGGGAAGACCCAGAGTTCCTGGATAAAATTTTATGGACTGATGAATGCACATTCTATAAAGATGGTTTTATGAACATGCATAATCTTCATTATTATGCACTTGAAAATCCACATTTAATTCGAGAAGAAAGGTCACAGTATCGCTTTAAAGTGAATTTGTGGACCGGCATCTTGAACGGCCAAATAATTGGTCCCTTTGAATTACCTGAAAATTTAAATGGGGAAAATTATCAAGAGTTTTTGGAAAACGAACTGACAAATCTTTTGGATGATATGCCTGTCGCCACACGCAGGGCAATGTGGCTTTAACATGATGGTTGTCCAGCTCATTACGCACGGGAAGTAAGAAATTATTTGGATCAGGTTTATCCATAGAGATGGATAGGCCGTCTTGGTTCCATTTTGTGGCCTCCCCGGTCTCCGGATCTAAATCCTCTCGATTTTTTTTACTGGGGTTGCATAAAGGAAAAAGTATATGGAATAGTAATTCATAACGTACATGAATTGAGAGACCAAATTAATGAAGCCGCACAACAAATAAAAGACGCAGAAAGTGCAAGACAGATAAAACGATCCTTTTTAAAAAGATGCCGCGCTTGCATTCGACTTGGTGGCAGGCATTTTGAACACATTCTTTAATTTTTATTTGTGATTCGTTTGTTTTTAATTAAATATCTGTTATTTTCATTAAAGAAGTGTTTTTGTTTAAATTCCTAAATATTGAAATAATTTAACAATAAACTCGTTTTGCAGTAAAACAGCAATATCTTTTTCTTTAAAGTATAACATGGCATATTACACTAAATAAGCAATTTTTAAAATACTTGCCAAGTTTGCGTGACATGTTTTTTTACAGTCTGAACGGTCGAAGTTAGCTAATAAAAAAAACGTATAAAATCGGGCAAAAATGTTTGTTTTCAAAAGGTAAAAAACTACTATTAGTTTTATTTTGAACTGTAATCAATAGCAGGCATTTTTAGGATTGCACAACATAAAATATAATCTAAGAATATGGAATTTTGTAGCTGTGGCACTCAAAAAACTGATATAAGGTGTCAAGTTTTACAAAATTCATAAAAATGACTATATCTCAAAAACTAACGATTTTTTACTAAGGTCATGTTTTGATTTTCTGGTTGGTCATGAGTTGGTCCATCATTCCTCCAAAGGATATCGTTGACTTTTGGGACACCCTGTATAAATCATTTTGTTATAGTTTTATTTTAAAATACCCAGGTTGTTTTTCACCAAATCTATCTTTACTAGTTTATTTAAAAACATGGTTAATTTATCTAAAACATTTATAGGTAGGTAAGTGATTATACTATCAAGCATTAATAGTATATTATGTATCAAGTTTGATAAACGCCGTTTTATACACGAATTTAATTTAGGCACGAGCGAGCTTGCGAACGAGTGCTTAAATTAATGAGTGTATAGAAAAGTTTATAAACGAGGTGCATACTATACTTTTTCTACGACAAATACTTATTATTATTTTAATAGTATATTATGTATCAAGTTTAATCATCAAGTTAATCAAGTTTTTCACCAAATCTATCCTTACTAGTTTATTTAAAAACATGGTTAATTTATCTAAAACATTTATAGGTAAGTGATTATACTATCAAGCATTAATAGTATATTATGTATCAAGTTTGATAAACGCCATTTTATACACGAATTTAATTTAGGCACGAGCGAGCTTGCGAGCGAGTGCTTAGGTTAATGAGTGTATAGAAAAGTTTATAAACGAGGTGCATAATATACTTTTTCTACGAAAAATACTTATTATTATATTAAAATGGTTTAAATCAAAAATTTGCATAGAGCGCCATCTATGAAACAACAGGGGAAACTGTAAAATGTCACATTTTTACATTTTATAAACACAATTATAAAGGTTATAAATCGAAATGTTTCTTGAAAATTGACAGTTTTTCACAGTGAAAGTAAAGGAAATGTTTTATGAGGACTTTACAGTAGAGTCCGTGTCCGAATTTAAGTTATAGTTTACCGATAGTTTACTGCCGGCGAAATTAAAAGGTCAGTACAATGTTCATATAAACTCTTCAAATATTGGCGTTGATAAACTATTTAATATTTTTGTATTTTTGTATTGAGATAATAAAATAATTTTATTTTACAAGAATGGCACTTTATTTTAACGATTGTATGACATTTGACAACTGTCAACTATCTTAAAACTAACTTCAGCCCGTGGCTAAAAACCTGTTGCTAACTTCAGCCAGTGACTAAAGCGCCGTAAAGCCATAACTTGTCAATGGGTATTTAAAAGGTCACTTAGTGCCATGAAAACATATACGATAAAGGGCGTTTTAAAGGTGGGAGTAGAAAAAGATTTTTTTCTACTCCCACCTTTAAAACGCCCATTATCGTACATGTTTTCATGACCTTTGGGGACATCCATTAATTACGTGAGGCATTTTTCTGATAATTTGGACCCCCCTCCCCTTGGTGAGATTTGGTGAGATGTGTTAGACCCCGCCCCTATCCCTCACGTGAGATTTTAGCCATTAAACCAAGTTTAATAAACTTTCTTTGCGGACAACATGTAAAAACAAATGATTATTTTCTTCTTACAAATTTGAATTATAATACATATTTTTTAAACTCCAAAGTTGGCGTGAGATTTTAAATTACACCCTTAAAATGATATATGGTGAGATTTTGCTGGACCCCCTCCTCCCCCCCATTTTTGTCTCACTTAATTAATGGATGTCATTGACAAGTTGTGGCTTAACGGCGTTTTAGTCACGGGCTGAGGTTACCCAGGTAGCATACTGACGTCTGCTGACGTATAAAAGACGTCATTTAAACGTCAGCAGACGTCAGTGTGCTACCTGGGTAGCAACTGCTAACAGGGCTTTTGGGAATTTTAGTCACGGGCTGAAGTTAGCTTTATTATAAATTGGAAAAAATGAGGTTAAATCCGTTGACAGTTGACATATGCAAATAAAATTGGCTTGAAATTTTTCTTTTTCTTCGTCGTAGATAAAGTATAGTATGCAACTCGTTTATATATGCAACTCGTTTTATAAACTTCGCTCGTGCCTAATAAAACTCGTAACTAAAATGGCGTTTATAAAACTTGATACATAATATACTATTATTTTATGCTTAATGTTACCGTATTTTGTAAAATTCCTATTAAAACGACATCGAGGTCCACTGGTCAAACTTTGACCGTAAAAGTATAGGTAATTATTTTTATACCTATTTGGTCTATGAAGCCTACACATGTGTACATGCCTACACTGCAGTGTAGGTTTCTTGATTTGGTCTTTAAAATAGGTATTTAATAAATATATACCTATACATAAATATAAATATATTTAATATTTACTAAAAAAAAGTTTCTGAATGTATTGTTCAATTTAAAACATCTAACCTTTAGGTATCTCTGCCTCTAACCCACTGAAGACGTCGTGTATACTTACATGAATTGTTATAAAAGTTTATTGACCCTAATTTGATTATAGGATCTCAATATGTAGGTATCTACAAATTGAATTTGGTTGAGCATTTTGTCAATAGGTACATTTGATACCTAGCTAGTGTTCGAAATAAAATTAATTTTTATGACGGGTAGGTAAATTAAGGGTAGGTATAATATTTATAAATACCTACTTTGTTGAGGTTATGTTTTTGATATTGAACACTAAAAAGAGTATAAATTGTTGTATTGAATATTGAAGGGTAAAATTAAAATATATAGTTAATGAGTCTTAAAATTGCGTTATTTAAAGAGGAAATGAGATATTTTATGCGTTGTCACCAAGATAATAATTTTGCTATGTTTACAAGAACAATCTACAGGTTGTCAATAAACAAGACTACAATAACCCAAACATAGAGCCACATTTTTTATCAGTTTTCCTTTAAAAACAAAAGGAAGGCTTTAAAACAATAAAAGATTTGCGTGGGAAGCAAATAATATTGGAGAAAACGTACCTATTTGCTTATTAATCAAAACGGTAACTGCTTTAACAATTTATGAACGAATTCGTTTAATTTAACTTCCAAAAGACACAGTCAACTTTAAGCACAATAAATACGGGTAGTTTTATTAATCTAATCGTGGTTAAATGCATGAATTTTCGACTTACATTCAATTGTTCCTCGGTAAGCACAGCAGCCATGATGAATTCACACCGAACACACCACACTAAAAACCATTGAAAACTGAGCAAGCACAGAACAAAACTGTGAGCAAGTTCGAATACGAGAAAACATGGGTACTACGCTAAAGCCGCGTTTACAATGAAGTATTAATGCACGTATACAGGGTGTTTCAATAAAATTTTGGCCTGATACCGAGCGTACCCGAAATTTTGCCTTAAAAGTTTTAATTTAGACCAGGCAATATATTTTTTTATTTAAATCTATTAAGGGCAAATGGGCAATGAATAAAAAAATGTTTTTCAAATTTGTTGAATTAAAATTTAAAAACTTAACATTACCTACCTACCAACTTTTTAGATAGGTACCTACAAAAAATATTAATATTTAGGTACCTACCTTTATAATTTTGGTTTTATACATACGAGAAACATAATGAAAATATAAAAAAATCCAGATGAATGCTAAAATGGTATATATACAAAGTTGGATTTCAAAAAAAAAAAAAAGAATAAATCAGTTTTTCATGAAAAAAAGTAAAATAAAGTAAAAAATGGCGAACGTTTTCATCATCTAGCATTTAAAAAGTATCGACCTTTTGATTTGACTGAATTTTTTTTATATTTTATACTGGACGTCGAGTTAAAAAGTGGTTGATTTATATATGTATAATAAAACAATAGAAACTTTTAGTAATACCATTGAGTGAAGTCACACCTTAATCAATGGTAATACTATAGTAATATAGTATATAAAATCTTAAAAGTTTTCATTGTTATATGTTGTGGGTGAAACCCGGGCCTGATTTCGGTGGTGTCACCCCAAAAATAAAAACTATACTACCTACGCCACTCGATTTTTGGAACTTTATCGATGAGGATGATGTAGACTTTATCTACATCTACATGTTAAATAATTATTATTATTAATTGGGCCCCATTTAAAAAGTTTAAAGCGTTTCTTCTTGAAACACAGATAAAGTTAAAATAACTCGACCAATTTTTAATTAATTAATTTTGTCTCAGAAAGTTAAGAACTTAGTGTACCTATAGTACGTATACAGGGTGTTTCAATAAAAACTCCCAGGCCAATTATTTCGAAAAGTAAAAGTGACATTTAAATTCTGTAAACCAGTAATTAAACCAGCCCCTAAAAATCGTTGGTTTTTAAATAACTATTGAAGTACTAGGTGAAATGTAATATTTTTTTAATATGTTGGTTCTAGGGAAGTGTCCTTAAAATGGGAATTTTTAATAACATTCGGCTTATTTAGTTTTCCAGAGACGGAGTAGCTCTAACTGAGCAGTACTCGAGTTAAATTAATTTTTGATCAAATTATGTCCCATACAATTTTTTAATAAATACAACATGAACGGACCCCAAATAAATCCGTTCATATTGGATTTATCAAAAAATTTTATGGGACATAATTTGATCAAAAATTAAGTTCCTGTCATCAAAAAAATTCTTTGCACCGTGGCGCCACCTACACCTTGTATTATTCAAACACATTTTTTACACAGTTGTGAATTCACAAGCCAATCATAGGGGCTAAAAACTGACGTTTACAGAATTTAAATGTCACTTTTAGTTTTCGAAATAATTGGCCTGGGAGTTTTTATTGAAACACCCTGTATGAAAAAAATATATCTCAAATTTGGTTTCTACTACAAGAGGTCCCTTTCCCTTTTCGCATTACATATGTATATACTACTATTTATGTTTGTCCATAAATGAATATGATATATTTATTTTATAAATACATAGAGGGTGTCCCAGAATATGTGGACAATCTGCCGGATTTAGATAGAACACAAAAAAATAATATGACAATTTTCCTATGTTCCTATACATCCATAACGGATGCCCCTGGAATGAAGAAAAAAGATCGAAAATTTCAAAACACTCCATTTTTTTACTGACACCGACATCATTATTTAAAGCGGTAAATGTAAAAAAAACATTGCAAAAAAGATAAAAATTAATTCCAAAACATTTTTTTTTTCGTAAACTACTTTTTATCGATGTCGATCATTTTAGTTTAAGTTTTAAGCTGACCAAAAATATTATTGTTGTGCCTTTACTACAGGGTGTTAAAAAAAAGCACTATAGTGCTCTAACTGATCAGTACTCGAGTACTGATGAGTTAGAGCTACTCCGTCCCTGTAAAACTAAATAAGCCGAATGTTATTAAAAATTCCCATTTTAAGGACACTTCCCTAGAACCAACATATTAAAAAATATTAAATTTCACCTAGTACTTCAATAGTTATTTAAAAACCAACGATTTTTAGGGGCGTCCGTTATGGGCCAGTATCTCTGTAAGGGGCTTGTAGGAAAAAAATTATAGGAACTTCTCATATTATTTTTATGTGTTCTATTTGAATCCGGGAGATTGCCCTCCCTGTATATGTACAATGTACATATACATACATATGTACATTGTACATATGTGTGTTTACACACAGTTAGAGCTACTCCGTCCCTGTAAAACTAAATAAGCCGAATGTTATTAAAAATTCCCATTTTAAGGACACTTCCCTAGAACCAACATATTAAAAAATTTTAAATTTCACCTAGTACTTCAATAGTTATTTAAAAACCAACGATTTTTAGGGGCGTCCGTTATGGGCCAGTATCTCTGTAAGGGGCTTGTAGGAAAAAAATTATAGGAACTTCTCATATTATTTTTATGTGTTCTATTTGAATCCGGGAGATTGCCCTCCCTGTATATGTACAATGTACATTGTACATATACATATATGTATACATTGTACATATGTGTGTTTACACTTTCGCTGCTATTAAAAAATAAGGTATAAAACGTTTGTGTAAGACAGCTATGATTATAAAAAAAATAAAAATGGTTTCTAAAAAATCTAGGAATCAGAGAATTAACTATTTGCCCCACTCTCAGCAGGCCACAAAATTAGACATTCCTTGCAGGTGTTGAAAAAAAAATGTTTACAACAATATCGATATATATATATATATATATATATATATCCATATGTATGCTACTGAGTTTTTACAAAATAAATTTTTGTAGTTCTACTATAGAAAGTATACCTACGATTTTTTTTGTGTTCAAAAGTTAATAGGTAATCAAAAACTATTTTTAATTTTTTCCCGGGTAACTTGAAAATGATAACCAGCATAACTTCATAAAAAAACTAAAAATCAATCGAATAAAAACAAAGGAAAAATTTAAAAAAAGCAGTTTTTAATTTTCGATTGCTTATTACAAACTTTGCATTATTCCGTGGGTTTTAAAAATAAAAAGGAAGATGCAATTAATAAAATGTATTTTTTGTATTATATGTAACACAAAACTGAATACATGTAAATAAATAAGTATAATGGGATTACTTATACATATCTAAATGTTAAGTTGAGAAACTTGAGCTATCACTGCAATATAATAAAAGTAAATATTTTAATAATAATTATTATTATTAATTGTTAATAATAATAATTATAATTATTATTATTAACAATTATTGGCGCACTAAAAAATATTTGATTTAATTGACACTTTAAAATTACTATAAAAAAATGCTTGCAGAAAAATTATGTTCATCATTTTTAATAAAATTAACAAATATTTTTTAGTGTAATAAAATCATAGATTTTGTTTTCTTAGAGACTATTATTAGTACTATACTTAATATTGCAGTAAAAGCAATAAAGTGTTAATAACCTAAACAGTTTTGCTTGGTACATAATATATATTTATAATATAATATACAGGGATTTAACAAAAGGTTGTCGAATTTACTAATAAAAAATATTTTATAAACATAGTACGAAAAATTACTCATAAGTGCTAGAGGCCCTAAAAATGTTTTTTTATGCCAAACTTACTTTAAATAAAAAAGTTAACATTTTTGTCAGGGGCGTCCCAAACAGGGTGGGACTTTAACCTATTTTTTTTGTGTATCAACTTTTTGCCATATTAAACTAAATTTATTAAATAATAAAGTTTTTATGTAAAAAATGTCGTTTTGTCTTAACCTGAATAAACGTAGTTTTCTAGTAAAATTGATTTAACCTTATTTTATTTTAATTTTATATCTTCAAAATAAAGTTTATATAAACTTGTTTCCTTAAAATCATCCAAGGATTAAGCTATTAGTATCAGCCATTAATTAAGCAACAGCCTGTACATAAAAAATAAAGGAGCTTCAGCTCACTTAGGAGTCATTTCTCGCACTATGTTTGTATACATTTTTATAAATATTTTAAGTTTTACCATGTGCTAAATTTTTTGACAACCTTTTGTAATCACATACTTTTAAAATTTCATCCTTAATTTGTTACTAAGAAGCTAAACCATAATTTGCCCATTACATGACTGGGTTCCTATAAAATAATAAGAATATTTCGTAACAATTAATATTTATTTGTTTATTATATTGTATTAAGAAAATTTACTAGAAAACAAATATAATTAGTTTTTCAAAATACTGTTCATAAAGTAAGGCAATTAAAGTTTTGTTTTACATAAAAATAATACCTTGGTATCGTAAATTACAACTGTTATGCTTATAAAATTAATTAAATCCCCAAGGATCTAAAATTGTACTTCTGTTATTATTTTATCAAAATCAGAATACTGATAAAATACTCATTCTTGCATAGGTTATTATCACTTTATAACATGACTATTGAATTACTATAAAAAATGAATTAAGCAATCACATAACAAAACAATCTATTGTCAATTTTTAAAATCAATTATCAATTCTATTTCTGCTTTTGGTCACAAACTAATCTCAATAACACATTAAAGCATTGTGTAGCCCATATGTGGGCAGTTAGCGATGCTTCCAAAAGAATATACAGTTTGCACATTATAAATTATGAGAGCAAATAATTATTTTTAGTACATTTTAATAGTTTTAAACTTTAATGTGAAAACTGTACATTCTTGCACATTATTTTTTGTGTGTGGCCTTTGTGGCCTTCATCACACATCTTTAATAATCAAGATTTCAGTTTTTTTAGAATGTTACTTCTAAACTTATGGCCGTATACACAAAGCATAGTTGAGATGTACTGGCCAATTTTTGTCAACACTAAACGTAGTAAATGAAGGATTCATGTTTTTCCTCCTCGCGTATTTTGCATTTTGTAATTAATTCTCTACAATTTTTTTATAGTCAATATGAAATTTTTTTATTTATTGCTAATGATAAGCAAACAGTGTGGTTCAGTTTATTTCAACTTTTTTTCCATTCATATTAAAAATAAGTTGTAGGGGACTTAAATCCCTACTGCTTTTAAATAAACAAGTTTTTCGTACGTGTAGATCACTACTATAATTTGAAGGAATGTTCCACACTTTTTGCTTATTATTAGCGATAAATACTTTTGTTTAAATTGACCATATGAAAATGGCAAATTCGTTACTTGCCTTTTTTATTGAGAAATGTAAAATACGCGCGAAAATCGACAAAAACACAAAATCCAAGATGGCGGACAATTCCCATAATTAATTAATGATTCCTTGATCTATTCCGCAGGAAACGTTTTACCTTGTATTTTTTTTGTGTTGAAACAAATTTGAGAATTGTGCTAAAATTTACAAAGGATATTTAAATAGTTTTATTTCAAAATATTCAGTGTTGCCAAATTACAGTTTGTTAAACCAGCAAATCTTAACTAACCTTTGTGCATACGACCATTAGACAAGAAGTTTTGCATAAAAAAAATACATTCAAGAATTATAATTTAAAAAAGTTACTTAATAGGGGACTTGATTGACTAGGGCAGTTCTAGACACAATTACAACAAAATAATATTTGATATCACTAACATGTATCCAATAAATTTGCACTGCTTAAAAGGAAAACATCAATAAACAGGATGTCCCGAAAATGGCTCACTAACGCCGTACCACGCTATAGAGGGGGGTATTTTAAGTATAAACATTATTTTTTTTAAATCCGACAAGCAGTTCCAGTTATAAAGCAATATAGTTTAAAAAATTTGGCAACGCTGTGTTCTTACTACACATCTAAGAAGGGTTGCTATGGAAACAAAATAAACAAGGCATCTATCATCTATATAGCAACTATATGGTTGACAGATGTAATTTTTTTTTCACAAAATTACAAACTTAAAATTTTTAAATTGGCTTATTTTAGATAAAAAAATTTTAACTTTTTATTTTTGAAACCTCATTAGAAAATTGTGTTTAAACCTTTTATATAGATATTTCTAAAAAATTAAAATGAAGAAATAAAAATTTCATTTTTAAACTAATTGGTCAAAACAAAAATTTATACTGAAAATCCCCTTCTACAGCATGGCATACCATAAGTGTGCCATTTTTGGAACACACTATATAGGAAAAGGATTTTTTAATAAATATAGCATCCTTTTAACGAAAAATTACTCGTAAATTTAAAAAAAATATTAAATAACCACAATAAAATGGTTTTGATTAGGTTACTGTTTACATATTTGTCACACTTGTTTCCATAAAACTAGGCACTAGGCAATAATACTTTTTAAATATAATGATTAAAAAATAAAGAAAACTTATTTAAAATAATTCTGATAATAAAAATAATTTACTGACCAAAGTGGCTTATAAAAAAACAAAAATTTAATAAAAAAAAATACAACCACCACATAAAACCACTCTAAAACCAATATTAAACAAGAAAACTTTATTAATCATTATACTGAAAAAATATAATTGCTTGTAAAAAAGATTTACTTATATTGTCACCTCAATATCACAACTTATTTAATGTATAGTGTATGGGTGGCTCTTAGAAAATATTAAGAACAAAACTTTACTGTTTTGTAAAAATTCTAAAAGGCAACTTTTGGAAAGTTACAATTTTATATGTAAGTTATAATTTTAAGACGACAATGAGCTAAATTATACATAACAAATTGTAAAAAAAATACAATGCAACATTTGTAAAATGTTTAAGTGACTGCCAATAGAGAAATATTACTTTTGGTGCACCCAGTAATCAGATCATGCTTGTTTAAATAATATTTGCAAGTCTGATGTACTCTTGGTGCAATAAATAATACATTTTGTTTCCAGAAAATGGCAAGTAGAATATCACAATTACAAAGTATTGCAAATAAAGTAATTAAAATCGTACAACTTATGGCATGCATTCCAAAATTGCGGTTTTATCAAATCTAAAGTTAAGCCATGATGGAGCGCAAAACTGTTCTATTGGTCTTTGATTCTCTGGAAATAGTTTACGTTTAGTGCATAGTTGTTTTGGGGTATTTTTTTCCTGCCGTTTTTTAATATGCTTAATATCATCATTCTCAGACTTTTTATTTAAAATGATGGACTTGTTTTTGGAAGGATTACATTCCCCTTCACTGATACTGGCTGATTTACGACGTAACCTCTTGGTTACACTACCATTATGGTTACAAATCTGTTTTAGTCTTTTAACAAATGGCAATACCATAAAAAACGAATTGGGGCTGACACCCATCTTAACCTTTGGCGTTGAATCTTTTTTGTTATTTGGCAAATCGTTAATTAAAAACCATGTGCATGCTTTGATCTCACACCTAGTTTTCGGTTCAAACTTTGTGTTTAAAGGTACATTCCTTACAATATACAACCTTACAAGCTGATCGTTGATTATTGACTCAAGAAATTCATTTGGATCAATGTAATTGCTTATATCAAAACCTGTTTCTTCTAAAACCTCTCGTACAGCACAATGGGCAGGATCTTCTTCTTCGTTTACTTTACCCTTGGGAAAGCCCCAGGAAGATTTGGCCCAGTAACTTTGAACCAACAGTACATGACTCATTCCCTCAGAAACTATAATAGCACCATAGGTTGGTACACTTTGCTTGTACTCCTTCCATTCCGCTAGAATTTCATTCAATTTGTGGCTCTCCCCTTGTAAAAATGGTATGTGCTAAAATTATCAAGTCAATAAAATATTCCAACAATAAACAGCAGGGTCATTCCATATTTAATTATTTTCACAATAAAAATTCCTTATGTTAAAAAATATAAATTTTAAAGAAAAAAATCGAATTTTCAACTGGACAGATATTTTAATAAAATTAAAAATGCAACTAAAAATATCAAGCAGCATGATATGGTATGGAATAACCCTTATTTAAACAATAAACATAGTTAATTACTTGAAAAACATGGGCAGCAAACTCGTATATAGTGCAAGACTTGAGTTTTGGGTCATTGTTTACATAAAAATCCAGATAAAACCAATGGGCCAACTCAATTTGGAAACATATCCTAATCAAGTTTTGTTTGGCAGATTCTGGCACGAATATTAAAAACCTCCTAAAATAATTCAACAATAAACACTTTATTTTTGGACAAAAGATGAAAACAACTTACGTCAATAGGTCATTCAATATATCGATGGGGATTGAATGTTCCACAGTTCTTAGTTGTATGTTTTCAGAGTCGCACATTATTTATCACAATTTTAACATTTACTTGTACAGGAAACGATGGTATAGTATCTTTAAACTACGTAAATTGCATGTATAATGGAATTTTCGTTGAACTTTCTTGTTTTATGTCGGACATATTTGTTGATTGTTGTGAAATTTTCACGCGTACCAACATTCAAATAACTAAAAGGCCGCGTTCGGAAATTATTCTAGAACATAAATATTTTGGGTACGCTTCGTGACACCCAAACACGAGAGATTTTAATCATTTTGCAATTAAGGATAAAACAATATATAATTTCATTAATTATTCCTTTTACTTTTAAAAACACTTCAAAAGATTACTATTAATTTTATAAAAGATATTTACCTTTTTTCTCAAAAACAGCACCGGATTCAGTACGTGTAAAAGGCGGAATTTTTAAATATTTTTCTAAGAAATAAAAATATTTATGGTTCGTATTTTATTTAATATTTTTTTTACATTTTTCAAGACAATGTTATTTAAGAGTATCACATTGGTGTCCTTCAAACTCAAGATATGATGGAAACATTTTTGTGCAGCTTCCACATTTTATGGTAATATTGTGAGATTTTTTGTGACGATTTAGGCTTGATTGATGTGAAAAGGTTTTTTGGCAAACATCACAAGTATTTTCAGTGCTTATTACGTTTATTACAGGAAATTTATTTCCCAGGTTTTGTTTTTCGCAAATTTCACAGAGCCGTTTGTTTTTTCTTCTTTTTTTCTATAAATAAAGAATTTTTGTATTAAAATTAATACTAAAACCGTTGAGTGAATGCTACAACAATGCTACAACAAAAAATAGAGCGTACATGCATGGTTTGAATAGTATTTTTTTTTGAAAATATTAATTGATAAAAAATGACGTAAGCATATTTTGGTTTGAATAAATATGCAAACAATATTTTTTTGAAAAAATATACTGGATGTTTTCCTTTATTCAAACATAATTAAGTAAAATGTTTTAAATAGTGTGAAAAATACCAATTAAAATTGGTTGATTCATCATAATATGATAATATAATATAATATATTATATATATATATATATATATATAATATTATATGTATATTATATTATATCATATTATTTAATCGGTTAAACTAGGCTCAGTAGTTTTTTGTTTGGTTTTTGTTGGGAAATGTTGAATGCAAAATAATTTAATAAAATCACGAGACCGCGTAGCGGTCGAGGGGTTTTATTTTTAATTATTTTGCATGAAACTATTTTCCAAAAAGAAAAATCAAATAATTATTTATTTTTTAAAAAACTTACTGAGCATAGTTTGACAGATTAAATTTATAGGTTGAGTCTAGATTATTTCTCGAATTAAAGGAAACTATTTGACAATTCATAAAATCTGACGAAAATTCCATTAATTTAAGGTATGTAATAATTATTATAATAATTGATATTTCGTAAACTAGATAACTTATTTTTTATTGTTTTTTAAAAAATGTTTGTTAAAACTTGTAAGTAACACCATAAAATCGTAAAAAAAAATCCAATATGCCTCGATCGAGCCTCGAGGCTAAAATTTAATCGCTGTTAAATAGTTCTAGTGATTTAATCGCTTATTTAAACGAAATTTATTCGAAAATTCAAGGCTTTTGGTTGGTTCATATTATAATGAGGGAAATAATCAATACTATTTTAGTATTTTTTTCATTTTTAATTTAACAAAATATGTACACACGTATAATTATAGGATTTTCAAATTTCATTTTAATAGCCTTGTAGGTAATTACGAAACTTTTCTGTAATTTTACCAACCTTTTAGCTCTTCAAATACAAAAAATACCCATATAATTATACACATAGAAGGATACTTGGTGCACCCTGTATAGGTATCCAATTTAATTATTATTAATAACTGCGACCTCAGTTAATTAACTTTTAAGTCGGTTTTAGGGAGAACTAAGAATTTATTGTTCTTTTCCACCAAAAATAACATTTAACAGCTTCTTCCAGGGTCTATAATTATTTTGTTGATAAAACAAACTTACTCGCAATTTAGATTTATGTCTGGAAAGGTGACGATTTAAATCTAACAGAGAAGGGGTTTCCAATCCACAAACATAACAACCAAATATTGTTTGTTTCCTATGCTTAATTTTCTTGTGCCTATTTAAAAGATTTTTTGAAGAATGCCTTGCTCCACATAAATTACACCTTAAATATAAATTAATTTAATGGTTTGGTTTGAAAAAACCCTTGCCATTTCGAAATTCCTTGTCAATTTTTCCATGGGTTCCCTTACTCAAAATTCAATTTTAATTTTAGCACGGTCTGTCAATTGTTTTTGGAGATATGATTTTTCAAATTTTCCTGATTATAACGATTTTGTCAATATGTCATCGATCATAACTTTGGTTCCAATTGAGCGATTTCGACGAACGACCAATCATTTGTATTGTCTTGAAACAAGCTAGGTATTTGAAATAAATATTTTTGATGCTGTGGCATATCGGCCAACTATGATTTTTTTCTTCGAAAACTAAAAATCCATTTTCTACACTGTTTGTATTTTTATATTTATTTTTTTTGTCTGGTTTAAATCTTTAAGCGAATTCAAGTTTTTATTAGATCGTGGCTATCGAAAAATTAATATTTTATGGGGAATTTTAAATTTTAATAATTTCGATTTTTTCCATTTTGTAATATCGAAAATGATTTTTTTTTATTTAACCCTTTTAACTATTAAAATTGTCAAAAAAAAATAAATATATAGTAAAATGATTCATCGATTTTCAATCTTAAAATAATTATTAAAAATAATTTATTTAAACAATTTTAATAGTTAAAAGGGCTAAATATAAAAAGATTAAATAAAAAAATCATTTTTGATATTACAAAATGTCCGAAAGTAAAAAAAATCAAAATTATTAAAATTTAAAATTCCGAAAAAATTATTAATTTTTCGAATATTATAGACAAAAAAACTTATATTGGCTTAAAGATTAAAAACAAAAAAAAATTAAAATTAAAAAAAATACAAACAGTGTAGAAAATGGATTTTTAGTTTTGAGCCATTCCACGCGTAACGAATAGGACAGTTGCCGTGTTTTTATTTACAAAATAATATTGTTCTATTATATTACCAATGTCAAATTTTTATAAATAGTTCTAAACTAAAACTGTTTAACAAGGTTTTTATTTGGCAAAATTAGGTATCGTGGTTGACTGTTTAATTCCTTAAAAACTAATAATTTAAAGCGTAACGGACGGGACTTTGTAATAGTCCCGTCCGTTACGCTTTAAATTATTAATTTTTAAAGAATTAAACAGTCAATCACGATACCTAATTTTGCCAAATAAAAACCTTGTTAAACCGCTTTAGAACTATTTATAAAAATTTGACATTGGTAATATAATAGAACAATATTATTTTGTAAATAAAAACACGGCAACTGTCCTATCCGTTAAGCGTGGAATGGCCCTTTTCGAAGAAAAAAATGGTGTGCCGATATGCCACAGCATCAAAAATATTTATTTCAAATAGCTTGTTTCAAGAAAAGAAAAATGATTGGTCGTTCGTTGGAATCGCTCAATTGGAACCAAAGTTATGATCGATGATATATTGGCAAAATCGTTATACTTAATCATAAAAATTTAAAACAATTGATAAACCGTGCTAAAATTAAAATTGAGTTTTTATTTTGAGTCAGGGTACCCATGGAAAAATTGCCGAGGAATTTCTAAATGGCAAAGGATTTTTCGTGTCGAAATCACGTGGAATTCCCCATATATTTTAAAATTACTTATAAGCATCTGTATGAGCCAATAAATGAGACATCATTCTTTGTTGTAAAATTAAGTGGCGGCAAACTTTACATCTTGTTCTACGTTTATTGTACGACCTCACATTGCATTTAATTTTGGGATTCATTTCTTGTTTCTTTGGTTTTTTATTTTTCTGTAAAATACGTTACTGTAAAAATAAATAAAAATAAGGTATAGTCGCGGCGAATGTTTCAAATTGCGTCATCAATGTCGAATGTCAAAAACCGATTTCTCGACATACGGTTAACCTAGCTGTTCCTTGGATTATATACGTAAAAGAAAACAACAATAATTGTAATGTCTATGCTTGGTTCAGAATTTGATGACGCAATTTGAAACATTCGCCGCGACAACTATAATAATTTCAAAGCATGATGTGACAATATATTAAAATTTAAAATTGTTCAATTAAATGACAATTGGTGAAATTATTTTTATAGCTTGGAAAACCCTATTTTTATATTTTAAAATGTTTAAAACAGCAAGATAGTTCGCCGATTTAAAGGACACTCGACATGCTACGACGATGCACGAAGTATGTTGAGCGGTGCCACTTCATCGCGAAACTATCTTACTATGTACAAAAGTTTTTAAATGAGATTGTTTACCATTTTTCTTAATTTGCCATCAGCCATAGATTTCATCTTAAAAATATGAATAATTATTTTTTTATGATTTGTTTTCAGGGGCGTAGCGAAGGTTCTGATTATGGGGAATGATTTTAATTAAAAAGCCGACTTTTTCGAAGATTTTTCCGCCTTTGAATATTAAAATGTAAATGAATGCGTTAGATTGATTGCATAATTTAAAAAAATACAAATTCCAGGGCATTGATATTTATTCGGCTGCTTATAACATTTAATAAGGAACACAATTTTTTTAAATTACCTACCGAACTTTCGTTGAATATATTTGAATATATTATCGGAACCTCGGAAAATGCCGACTACGGAAGAGTTGCAGGGTGACCCCCCTTCAGAAACCTTGCTACGTCCTTGTTTGTTTTTAATCTTACATAGCTGTCCACCTTTAAAACAATATTGCTCGTGTCCCTCTTAACAATTTTAAGAATATTATTGTTTTCAGACTTTACTGCAATTTTTGTTGGGCATCTAAAATCAGCTTAATTGGAAATAATTACCAAAAATATAATACCTTAGACCTAAATGTATAAATGTTAGAACTGTGTCGAAATCTCTCTTCTTTTTTAAAAATTTTACGCAAAATAACATCGGATTTTTGGCATTTTTCGGCAAACTCCCCAAAAGTGTTAATTGTTTCAGTACATTTTAAACATACTTTTTGAGGCAATAAACCATCATTATTATCGATCTGCATTAAAAGGGTTATTATATGAAATAACATATTATAATAAGTGAACCTTAACACCAACAAGATTTTCTATTTTCAATTGCAAATCAGATTGAATTTGATAATTTACATCATCAGGATTTTGTTCCAAATCATCCTTAGTTTTCATACACAACCGACATATTTTATTGTTTGTAGTCATTCTAAAAACATTTAATAAAAACTATAAATAAAATGGGAATTTGTCACATTTTTGACACAATGAAATCAAAAAAATACAAATAGACAAGCCTTTATTTAAAATCTATACTTATAAGATATATCTTGGTGCATACTTACTGTAACCCACAATCCACACAACAAGGTCTGTTCGATCTCGTACTAAAAATACTAAAAATCACTGCAACACTGCAACATCATTCAATGACGGCCATTTTTGTTGTTTACAATTCTTGTGCTTTGGATTTGTACAGATTAATAAACGTTTTAAAAGTTGTGTTTCTTACAGAGAGACTTGCAAGCCTTAAAAGAGACCTCAAAGTGATAAGAAAAATCATTTTACTCCCCTTTTGTAAAAGGCCATAGGCTTTAGTCATAGATTATTAACCTCTAGGTTTTAGTCACACAATATAATATATTATACATGGATATTAAAGTTAATAACAGGGAATTATTAAAAATACAAAAACAATAAAGGAATGTAAAATTTATTATATTAGATTTATAAAAGACGGTAAATTATATCTTAACAATTAACACAATTTTCTATTAAACTACCCTGCACTCTATAACTCTATGTTAATTCTTATAAGGAGCCACTTACCAATATTTATAAATACTTTTTTCAATATTTATGTATTTAACTTAATAAATTTAAGTATTTTTTCTATGTTTTGTTCTCCTTCGTCTGGAGAATTATTCATTAATTGTAGGTCCCAACAGTTCCAATTATCCAAATCGCATTCTGATGTAACATTGTCAACTCCTTTAAATTAAAAATGCAATGTTATATTAAATCAGTTTTTGGGCTTTTTACATTCGACTGCTGTTGTCATTTTTTTGGTATAATTTTTTTTTATTACAAGGATATTTATTTCTGTTTTTATTGCGCGCATTTATATGAGCAAAAAACGTCTCCACATTTAACGCAAGCGATTCGTCGCTTGTCTGTTCTCAAAACCTTTGCGCCACATCATTCTATTGTAGACGAATTTTTGTGAACGCATTGATTTTGTCATTTTTTAATAGCATTCAAGTTACACTATATATGTTGGGTTTAATTAAACCCAACATATATAGTGTAATTAATGTTATAGTCCGGGAGGCAGTGAAGATTTTCGGTACTTATTTTCCCAGTCGGCAAACACCGATACAATTATTGGGTTTGTTATTCTGAGCAAAATTTATATATATTTAGGGGGGGGGGGGTTTCCGATGGGTTAAGGCGGAAAATGCGTTATAAAGTACAAATATATTGCACTTTAATTTTCAGTGATAAAAATAATTCCATTAGTGAGAGATATAGTGAACTTAAGAAAAAAAATAGTCTAGTATGGGTAATATGTCTGGCAGGTGGAAAAATTATCAAAACCATTGCCCTTATTTTCGCAGTCCTAAAAATTTTGTGAGATGATAGTTTATATTATAATTACAGCTGCAAATATAGTCTGGCTAATGTGGAACACTCCGAAAGCCTTGCCAGACTCGTCCAACCCTCCACAGGCGCGCTAAATTCGGCATGTTCAATTATACAGGCGATTGTTGTCATCTCTACATGTTTTTACTTTTCATAATGTTTGATAAGAAAATAATTTGTGTAAAGCAAAATTTAAATATGGCTAAAAAAAATAAATTAAATTAAATAAATAAGCACCCGTCGCTTCCTCTCCTCATTTAACTATCTGACTTGTGAGTCTGGCGGGGCTTTCGTGATTGTAAATAACAGCCAGACGTGTATTTTCTACGAAATTCTAGTATTATTTATCATGTGACAAATTTTCAAATCCGGGAAAATAAGAGCAAAATTTTTGTAATTCTTACGATTTTCAAGATGCCGCCAGAACAATTTGCCAATTTCATAAATCAGCCAGACTTAATTTTGATTATAGTTTATGATAGTACCAAATAATGGGTTAAATTTTAAGCATGGGAAAATAAGGGCTACGTATTTCAAAAACCGGTCAAATTTTTTCAGCCAGACTGACTTTCCTTCACTTGGGAGGTGCCAGACTGTTATTTCTATTAATAAAATGACTCACTTTAATTAATGTGAAATATTTATGACTGAGAAAATAAGTGGACTTTACTTTTTGGCTCATCTAGTGAACCCATCCGAAAATTTTAGACACACAAATTGTCGTTTTGTGTCACCATTTGAACAAACTTAATGACATTCACAAACTGGGAAAATAAGAAGATAAAAATCTTCACTGCCTCCCGGACTATTAGGTAGTCACATTCAAATCAAACTATATAGTTTGATTTGAATGTGAATACCTAACATTAAACCCAACATTAAACGTAATTGCGTAAAATAAAAAAAATTAATTGATTAACAAAGTTATGCACAAATATAATAGCGATACCTCTCACCGCTGTTTACGCACACTTGCTAACTATAAATAAAGATGGACTACAAGTATTTAATTGGAGGTGTGCGTCAGCAGACGCATGTGATCTGCTCAGTAACAAATAATGCCATAAACATAATATCATAAGGTCATTCAATATCCCCGGCTTATTTATGTTTTAAAGGGGTGTGCGAATATTCGAATAAACGAATTCGATTCGAGATTTGAATCCGACTATTCGATTTGAATCGAACTATTCGAATAGTTCGAATTATTCAATTATATATACACTGTAGGTAAATTTTCAACTTTTGAAATATCACAGCTAAACCACATACTCCGATTTTTTCTCGCTAGGGGTATTGTTTTGACAAATTAATCCTTTTCTAAGAAATTAACGTACTAAACTGGAGTTCGATTTTATCCTCGGTGAGAAACGCATCGCTCCCCTAGTAGAAATTTTACGTAGAAACAACGTTTTTCCCACGTTGGCAAAACCTAACTTTTATGTATAATTTTATGTTGAAATGTCCCGGTTTATAACGTTATCTGACAACGTTAGTTTTTAATGTTATAAAAAACGTGGGATTTACGTATTATGAAACGTTGCAAATACGTGGGTTTTGTGTATTATACAACGTTGCTTTTATGTATTATAAAACGTTGCAAATACGTGGGATTTGTGTATTATACAACTTGGGAAATATGTGGGTTTTGTGTATTATAAAACGTTGGAAATACGTGGGATTATTGTATCATAAAACGTTGGATTTTTTTATAAATTTGGGTAGGATTTTTCTTTATTATTGGAAAATTTAATATATATTTAAAAACAAAAATTTATTGTACAAAAAAAATACTTTGGAAAAAAAATTCCCAATTAACAAAATCTAAAAAATATTATCTAATAATATTATACTTAAAGTAAACAAATTAAATTATAACAAAATAGCTTTAACAAAAAATTTACAATGGTATTTTAAAAAGAAAAAATATTGCCTATATATATAACAATTTTCTATACAAGATACTACAACTTTTAAATCAATATTAAAATTAATTAAAAATACCCAATTAACAAAATCTAAAAAATATTATTAATATAATATTATATACTTAAAGTAAACAAATAAAAATATAACAAAATAGTTTAGACAAAAAATTTTCAATGGTATTTTGAAAAGAAAAACTATTGCCTATATTCATATAGGTATTAACAATTTTCTAGATACCAAGATACTACAACTTTTAAATCAATATTAATAAAAATCTAAAAAATCCTATTTAAATATTAACTAGAAAAATTCAAATATAAGTAACATAACTTAAAACATGGCCTAAAAAAAATAACAATGCTGGTATTTTAAAGAGAAGAAATATTGCCTATTAACAATTATTACAAATTTTCTAAATAAAGGATTAAACAAATTATAAATTAGCAACAAAAATAAAAAGTCAAAGAAATTTAAGTAGTTACCTAGTTAAAATATAAGTCTAAATAAAACAATTAACAATATTGTTAATTGTTTTATTTAGACTCATATGAAGGTGAGTTTAAAGTCACAAATTTTTAATTTTCATAAAGGGTTTTGATGCTTGGCAAAATAAATTTTAGCAATTACGAATATATAAGAAAAAATGTGAGGATTTTTGCTTTTGAATAAAAATTTAGAGCACAAGCATTAAAAGGAAAAAATACAAGCAAAAATAGTATTTTTGCCTATATTTTTTTATACACTTGAAAGTTTTAAAATTGATTTTGTATAGGTAGTATACAAATTTATTTATTAAATGCAAAAGATTGTGACCTAAAATTGATTTACATATGGATATAATTTATTAATATAAAAATTATTAAGAACCTTTGATTGTTAAAAAAAATCTAATAGATTTGGCTGGTAACCAACACACAATGGTAAATGATCTCCTCCAGTGTCAGCAAACATTAGAAAAGTTGAAAAATAGTTTAATATTCTGAGTTTCCTTTTTTCACATTTTGTTGTTTCCCTGGGTAACCAGGTGCTGGCAAAGCATCCCTTATTTCCTTTACTTCTGAAAAAATATTGGTTTATCACATCATCATAAACTTCTGATCTGGATCTTTTTAGATTTTTAGCATTCCTTTGAGTAATCACAATTTTTGCCTCCGGAAAGAATTTAGCCAGTCATTGCCAGGAAGGTTTTCTTTAAAACAACTAATTATCACTGCTTTGTGGTTTAGATATGACTGCACTCTTTTGTATCTTGTCTTGCAAAAGATTATCCATTATCCGCAGATCATCTGTGGCAGATGTAATAATTACACTTGCAATCTACCCAAAGGATAGACGATTGTTTATCACCTCTGCCACGGCCAATTCAATATTTTCTGGGTGATAATTTCTTTGATACACTGTTCCAGGAACATGTTTATGCTTTTAAGGCATCGTCACAGAACAAAACTTATTTTACATAAGGCATCGTCCAAATAACCCTAAAAATCCATGCAAAAAGCAACTGTTTAAAAAAAACACTAACAAATTGTTTGTGGTGATTGTTTAGGTTACTAAAAGTTATTTGCCATCCCTATCAGATAAAAATTACCTTATCTTTTAATTATTTTTCCAAAAAACACGGCAGAATTTGCACAAAATTTCGCACGATGTCAACACTTAACCTAAAATAAAGAAATAAACACTTCGTGATAGAGCGGTAAATTTGAATTTTTCTTCGTTTGTTCCGTGTAACCCACAGAATTTTGTGATAATACTATGGTGTAACCTCTGTTGTTCCATCACCTAACTACGATAGTAAACCTTTATTAAAACTATAATAATTTTAGGTATCTAAAAGTAGGTTTTGTGTATTTCGGCCTTATTTTTAAAACTATGACTTTAAAAATTGTATTGCATAGTTAAATCTGATTTTATAACTAATGTTACAAAGACTAAAAATTTTAAAAAAATCCACATTAAAAATTTTCTCGACGGGACTTAAAATAATTTTATGTTGCTAAATGTGTGTTTTGGAACGTTGCTGCAACGTTTCTAGCATACAATTTTACAACGTAGTTTGAAAGTGGGTTTTGTGTATTTCGATCGTATTTTTGATATTATATCTTTAAAAAATGTATTGCAGAGTTTGATTTTACTTTTATAAATAATTTATTATAAAAAATAAAAAAAATCCACATTAAAAAATTTGCCGGCGGGACTTAAAATAATTTTATGTTGCTAAATGTGTGTTTTGGAACGTTGCTGCAACGTTTCTAGAATACAATTTTACAACGTAGTTTGAAAGTGGGTTTTGTGTATTTCGGCCTTATTTTTGAAACTATGACTTTAAAAATTGTATTGCATAGTTTGATTTTACTTTTATTATTAATGTTACAAAGGATAAAAATTTAAAAAAATCCACATTAAAAAATTTGTCGACG